CAGCGTTTTTGAGATATGGGACATTATTCTAATTTAGAGGGCTATAAAGACCCCATTTCTAATAAGTAGAAAAAAACAATTGTCAGTTCCTATAAGGGACGTCCCATACTATATGCACAGCTCATACAAAACTATTTTACTGCAGTGTTTTTGAGATATGGGACATTATTCTACTTCAGAGGCCTATAAAGACACCATTTCTAATAAGTAGAAAAGGCCAATGGTCAATTCTTACACCGGACGTCCCATACTATATGCACACCTCATATCAAACCATTTTACTGCAGCATTTTTGAGATATGGGACCATATGGCACTTTAGAGGGCTATAAAGACCCCATTTCCAATAAGTAGAAAAAAACAATGGTCAGTTCCTATAATTAGAAATGGGGTCTTTATATATTAGAAATGGGGTCTTTATAGGCCTCTGAAGTAGAATAATGTCCCATATCTCAAAAACACTGCAGTAAAATGGTTTCGTATGAGGTGTGCATATAATATGGAATGTCCCTTATAGGAACTGACCATTGTTTTTTCTACTTATTGGAAATGGGGTCTTTATAGGCCTTTGAAGTTGAATAATGTCCCATATCTCTAAAACGCTGCAGTAAAATGGTTTTGTATGAGGTGTGCATATAGTATGGGACGTCCCTTATAGGAACTGATCATTCATTCATTCTACTTTTTAGAAATGGGGTCTTTATAGCCCTCTAAAGCGCCATATGGTCTCATATCTCAAAAATGCTGCAATAAAATGGTTTCGTATTAGGTGTGCATATAGTATGGGACGTCCCTTATAGGAACTGACCATTCATTCATTCTACGTTTTAGAAATGGGGTCTTTATAGCCCGAAATGGGGTCTTTATAGGCCTCTGAAGTAGAATAATGTCCCATATCTCTAAAACGCTGCAGTAAAATGGCTTCGTATGAGGTGTGCATATAGGGCTGGACAATAATTCGATATCAATATGTATCGCGATATAATTTTTTTCAATAACGGTGATATGATTTTTAAACCCATTTCCGATATTTCTATATACATTAGCATTTGTCACTGAATGACGTTCAAGGTGCAGCCGTCAGAAAGAGCAGAACAGAATTAGGTACTTGCGTCATGACGTACATCACAGACACACAGCCAGCGCTCAGCAGTAGTTGGTTAAGCTCCGGCGCGGCAAGTTTTAGCTACAAGATGAGTGCCCCCGACCGCAATACAGATGTGACTGAGCGAGCTTCCACAAGTAGGGAGAAAGCAGACGAAATAGTTGATAAGAGAGGAAAGACTAATTCAGTGGTGTGGAAGTGGTTCGGCTTTTTAAGATCGGATAAACTTCAGGTTTCGGTGCTCTGCAAAATGTGCCGGAGAGTGGTGCCGACTAGCAGCGGGAACACGTCAAATCTGTTTCACCATTTGAAGCAGTTCCACCCGACAGAACATTCTGAGAGTCAGAAGATGAGGCACCATAAAAGTTTAAGCCAACCTATCCCCGAGCCATCACCATCACCCCCCCCCTCCCCAACACCAGCTATGTCAAAAGAGAAGTCCATGCAGCAAACACAGATGGCTGCATTCATGCCTTATGACAAACAGTCTAAATGTCATAAAGACATAAGGCTGTTACAAGCTTCTTGGCTAAGGACATGATGCCATTTAGTACGGTGGAAAACGTGGGCTTCAGGAAAATGATGTCAGTCATTGACCCCAGATACGAGCTCCCTGGTCGAAAATATTTTTCACGCACAGCTATACCTGCACTTTATGGTGAAGTCAGGGACAGGGTGGAGGAGCAACTGAAGTCAGTGTCGTATTTTGCGACCACAGCTGACCTCTGGTCTAGTCGAACCTCGGAACCATATTTGAGCCTGACAGTCCACTTTATTGACAAAGATTGGAATCTTGTCAGCTTATGCCTCCAGACGGTCTACTTTCCGGAGGATCACACGGGCGAAGCAATTGCAGCCGGACTTGCAGATGCGCTCGCCTCCTGGGGTCCCAGATCTCAAAAATGCTGCAGTAAAATGGTTTGGTATGAGGTGTGCATATAGTATGGGACGTCCCGTATAAGAATTGACCATTGGCTTATTCTGCTTATTAGATATGGGGTCTTTATAGGCCTCTGTAGCAGAATAATGTCCCATATCTCAATTCTCACATCTGGGCGTCTAAATGATAAGTGCTCTGAAAGCGCGTTCTCTCTGTGTTCCTGCAATTACCGTAATCATTGGCCATTTTTTTGCTGCGGCGCCCGGGGAGCAGTTGGGGGTTCGGTGCCTTGCTCAAGGGCACCTCAGTCGTGGTATTGAAGGTGGGAGAGAGCGCTGTACATTCACTCCCCCCACCTACAATCCCTGCCGGTACGAGACTCGAACAATCAATTACGAGTCTGACTCTCTAACCGTTAGGCCACGACTTCCCCTAATAATAATAATATGTTGGCTTTTCTCAACCTGCAGGAAAGAGTAAAACTAGGCAATATATGCGCGATACCATACCAAAATTCAGGACCTGATTAAAAATATATTCTACTGCAAAGATATTTGTGAAATAAATTTCCACAAATTTTCCAAAACTTTCTGGGTTTATTAATTTTTCCAAAACGTTTCCAGGCCTGGAAATTGCGTTTTAATATTCCATGTCTTTTCCAGGTTTTTCATGACTGTACGAACCCTGGAATATGGAAGACAGCTGCAGAGGCAGTTAGTGGAAGGACAGTGAGGTGTTAGAACTACTGTAAGTATTATGATGACAGATCTAGGCAAGCAAAACCTGAGGGAAAAACTACACAAGAAAAAAACTTTGCTCTTTCTCACAATCCTTCAATCCTAGTTTTCGACCATGACCACTTCACACTCATATCTGACATTGGCCACATAAAAAAATAAAATAAAAATAAAATAAGGCTTGCAGTGTCAGTGTAGACTAACTGTGTTCCCCATCACTGGTCTGTAGATATGATTCAGATTGCTCAAGTCTATGAGAAATTTTCACCTGTTTTGTCTGCTAAAGGATTTTCATGATTAATTTAATTTGCTATTGAATGTGACAAGACAAGAAATATCAATAGAGTTTCCTGCATATTACGCATATGATTAAGAGTGTATCAGTGCATATTTTAAAATAAAAAAATATTATTCGCAAACAGTTCAAAAGCATTATAATAATTTCTAGCTGGGACCTGCTATGGTGTGTAAGCTATGGCCAATTCACAATCCCTTTGCCAATTTTCACGAGACCCCCTGAAGTACAAAGCCCTGTGTGGTTCTGCTTGCCAATATAGAAATTGACAATTTATCGAATTGTTCATTGAAAAAAAAAAAAAAAAAAAAAAAAAAAAAAATCTGAGCACTAAAATTCACATTTGTCACATGTAATAGTAGAATTAACTGAGCATAAAAATGAATAGTGTATTTAGATATTTTAACATAGTAATGTTAAGTAATAAACAACAAAAATAAAATGAACCATTTATTGAAGTCACTAGATTTTTAATAGAAATAACATCTACAACCCTGACTTTCAAATGTCATACAGCCATTTTGCTTAAGAGACTATAAAATAACCAATGACATGAGCAGTTCATATTGTTAGTGCATTAATCATTATTGCAAATGAATGGCAGTTTCCACAAACCTATATTACAATTACCAATTTAAACAAATACATACATTTAAACTACATGAAAAAAAGAGACAAGTTAGCAAGTGTTTATATATCACATTCTACTACTGTAATGCTAATGTTCTTCACGGATGGGTGTGCAGCCAGAGAAAAAGCTGTTTTTGAAGTTATTTAGACCTCTCTTTTTACTCCGGAGAAAGCTGGAAGTGCTGTTCATCACTTCAGAGTCATCGCTGTCACTCTCGTTGTCAGCAGGGACTGGTTTCTTTTCAAGCTTCAGATCTGCAGGCAGGTGGCCTATGTCTCCAATCTCCTGCTCATGGTAAAAAAAATATTAAAAAAACAGTGTTTGAGGAAGTGTGACTTTAGAGGAATAGCACACACAGAAATGAAAAGGCTCTCATTATTTATTCCTAATTACCTTCATGACATCCCAAACCAGTATGCCATTTTCTAGGTTCAATGGAATAAGAATGTCCAAGATGAAGAAAAATCTTTTTTTTCATCATTATGTACTAAATACATTTTCTTTATTATATAAAAAAATATATATATCATGTTGGCTTAAGAAAGCATACTAATAAAGCAATAAGACCCAAGACTTCACGGGGCTTATTGCTTTTATAAAATGGTTATTCCATATACGTAGTAAGGTTTCACAAAATAAAACTGAGCAAATAAAGTGTAATGATATTAATAAAAACAGTATTCTTCCACCAAACAATGTAGTTCCTCAGAATCAGTTGTGGTTGCAACAAAGTCATTGCCAAACAACAGACAAATGTAAACAAAGGTGTATGTTTGTAGAGTAATTTACAACAGCTTTGAACGTGGCTCAGCCAATCAGAATCAAGGACCGGAACTATCCGTTTTATAATGTGGTATTAAATCTACATTGCAAGTAAATCACTTTCATAGGCAACTCCATTGTGAGCTAGGCGACTAAATGTCTGTTATTCCACAATACATTTTTAGTGCGGATAAATTTTCAACCACCTACACATGAACACTGAGCATTTAAGGATTTCACTTTGAAATTTAAATGAAAATTTTAAGGGAAGAATGCAGTTCTTTAAATTTAAAATATGAGGTTTATTTATAAAGGTAGCACCTATTTGAAGTTTGAAAAACATGAGCAGCGGTATACTGTTATCAAACATCCCGACGCCACCCACTGATGAAAGCGACGTTTAAATGAATATGTAAATATGTGCTGCGCAGGTTCCTCAGTAACAAAATAAACAACAAAAATGGAGAGAACAGCAAGCATTTTTTTAATTTTTATAAAAAGCATCAACATGTTCATAGCAACATGGGTATGCTTGCACAAGCTCTGCAAATTAGCACTCCCGTAAAGTCACGTCATGTGTATTTACATGCACTTTATTCAATATATTGCTTAAAAGCAAACAGCAGTATTAAACATGAAAAACAGTGTCAGTGTCTAATTTCATCAAAAGAAAAACTTAATTTGCTACTATAAAGCGGCTCTCCACTGTTCAGTTTTTACCCGTGGACATCTCACCTCCAAGGACTCGACAGACGAAATGAACCCAGAGAAGAGTTCTGCGAGAAAGAAGGCGGAGCCTCAGCGCACACCTCCTATGACGAAATCGTCATGGACCAATGGTTGTACGAAGGTGTTTTGCAGCCGGAACAAACTTTTCTGGAAAGTTTGCTTTAACAAGCCGTTTCGAACTCCCAAAACAAACACAAAACAAACTTCGTTTTGGCCGGATTTTGTTCGAAATGACGTCACATCAGTTCATTCTTCGCTTGAAGTATATCGGGGCCTTGAGCCAGTTCTTGTGAAATTTGCCGCTGACTCTGATGTCTCTGGTTAAATGTGAGATATAATTTGTTCTGGGTATATCTAACGTCAATTGTTAGTCTCATGAATCTATTATTTGTTCATACATTTCATAACTTTATATTTTTATTTAGCTTTAATACTTTCTTGTAATCAAAATGACTGATTTTGTAACAGTAATTTCGATAATTTTGTAGAAAGTTTACCATAGGTATGACACTAGATTTACAATAGTCATACATGACAAAAGAAAAACAAAGGTTCGGGTACAACATACAAAAATGTAATCATATAATATAACACTGCACAGTCTTCACTGTATGAATTAAATATACAGATCCTTATTAAGGCTGCATGTGTACAGCTAGCCACTGTAATTTGCACACTGTAATTACTTTAACTCTGTTTGGATAAAACTGCTAAATGCATAAATGTAAATGTAATGTGTTGCATTCATTAAAGCATGTGCAAAGAAACACTCATGTAGAGACGACTGTGCATTCACAGAAACATTCAACAGCACAAAAACTCGTCAGCGCTACCCTGCAACTTGCTAACAAATAGCTTCTCTACTGAAGAGCTAAATTATATTTCTCAGTATCAAGGTGGTAAGGTCACTATTTTTGAAGTATAAGAACTGCAGAGTGATAGCTGCTGGGGGGTGGGGGAGGGTATAAACCTATACCGAAGTTAGAGCTCCAGTGATTGGATCTAAAACAAGCAGATAACACTTAATAAACAGATAAACCACACACACACACACACACACAAAAACCCTGCTAGACACGCACTCTCAGCAAAGAGTGGCTCACAGTACAGAATAATTGTTGAGTCCTGTTTAGTTCACATCACAAGTTCAATATATGGTTGTGAATCCAGAAAATGTATGGGTGTGAGCCTGGTTATAGAATGTGGTTGTCACTTCATTAAATAACCTAAATGTGTGCAGACTCAGACACAGGATTGTATAGAGCTCCGGACGTCACGTGATCCATTTTGTTTACACATTCTGTTACACCTGCTGGCAGGCAGGGACAGCCGGGAGCGAATGTATATATATGTATGTAT